AGGAGACCCAGAGTCCAGAAGCGCCACTCGCGCGAGTTGAGAAGTGGCTGTAGGCCCTCCATGCAGCAGGACCCGGGTGGTGTATGAGTCCGCGTCCAACACGAGCGTGCCCCCGACCAGATCGGGTCCATGTTCGAGAAGAGGAGGCCGGTCTGCACAAGCGGAGGTCGATGCCACCAGATGAACGCCAGGAGCATGGTCCCCCGGAGCGTCCAAACGTAGACAAGCTGGGTCTTCGCCCGGGTCCTTCCGTAGCGAAGAACCTGTAGCAGTAGCAACCTCATGAATGCGTCGATGTCCATGGAGAGGAGGCTGCGAAATGGGGGGCGTGGGAGAATTGGAAGCGGGGAAGTCTTCGCCAGAGAGGGGATGATCACGCAAAAGGCGTCGAACTTCTATCAAAGCTTTTACCAACAAGTTTCTACCACTAGCCGCCCACTTGGATGAATCGCTAGCATCTGGAAAGCATGCAGACATGTCGATACCCCAAACACGATCGAAGAGGCTGGCTTCTGCAAGGAGGCGGGTACCCGTCTCCAGTAGATGATGTTTCATGTCATGGTTTTGAGCAAATTTGGCGTACGACCCCGTAAGCACGATCTCTTCACGACGACGCTCCCATTCAGCATAGTCGAAAGGACGCACATTTCGACCCAAAAACTTGTGTGTCTTAGGATCTGTTGCAGCCATAATTTTGTCATACGACGTCATATCTCCAAACAACTTCGCTTTTTCAGACATCATGAATTGCTCACCACATGAATAGCGTACCCCCAGTACGTCAAAAGCCGAAGGAGTCCATTGCGAGAACACAGACGGAGGTTTCCAGAAAAGAAGGACGTCATCCGAAGCGTACTCGCACTTGTCATCAAACGGCGGAGCCGGTGCAGGGCGAAGGGGCAAAGAGCGGGCACCAGGCACAGGCGGGGGTGGACCAGGCGGACGGGTCCTCTTCTCCGACGGGGAGGACCCAGAAAGCGAGGCAGGAGCGGGCGAAGTCGCAACGCGCCGTGATCCGGAGGGCGGCCTTAGGGCGGCGGCTCCGTTGGGGTCAATGTTAGCAGAGGCCATTCGGCTATTAGAGACCCGTTCGTTAGGAGAAGTCATTCCTGCAACAGA